TCTGATCTTTGTTATTTCCTTGCTTCTACATACTGTAGGGTTCTTTTGTTGTTCTATTTCTAGTTGTTGGAGTTCACGAGTTACAGTATTGATTTTGTGTCTTTCCTCTTTTTTGAAGTATGCACTTATTGTTACAAACTGTCCTCTGAGTACTGCTTTCACTGTGTCCCATAGGTTTTGGTATGATGTATCTTCATTCTCATTTATTTCTAGGAATATTTTTATTTCAGTTTTTATCTGTTCTATTACCCAGTAGTTTTTGAGCAGTGAGTTGTTCAGCTTCCATATGTTTGATGCTTTTTCCTTGCTCTTCCTATTATTAATTTCTAATTTTATAGCATTGTGGTCTGAGAACATGCTTTGTAGTATTTCAATGCTTTTGAATTTATTGAGGTTTGTTTTATGTCCTAACATATGGTCTATTCTGGAGAAGGATCCATGTGCACTGAAGAAGAAGGTGAATTGTGCTTTTGTTGGGTGAAATGGTTTGTATATATCTATGAGGTCAAGTAGGTTGATTGTCTTGTTGAGTTCTGTATCTTTGTTGAGTTTTTTTCTAGTTGGCCTGTCCCTCTTTGAAAGTGGTATGTTAAAATCTCCTACCACTATTGTAGAGTTGTCTATTATCCCTTTTAATTCAGTTAATATTTGCTTCACATATTTTGGAGCACTTTCATTAGGTGCATAAGTATTTATTATTGTAACATCTTCTTTGTCAATTGACTCTTTCAGCATCATATATCTTTCTTTATCTCTCATGATATTTTTCACCTTCATGTCTGTTTTGTCAGAAATTAATATTGTCACTCATGCTCTTTTTTGATTTCCATTGGCTTGGTATATTTTTCTCCATCCCTTTACTCTTCATTTGTTTTTATCTTTGTGTCTAATGTAAGTCTCTTGTAGGCAGCATATCAATGGGTCTTCTTTTCTTATCCAGTCTGCCACTCTCTTTCTCTTGATAGGTGCATTTAGTCCATTCACACTGAGTGTAATTAGTGATAGGTATGAATTGATTGCTGTCATTCTATTTTTTTTTTTTTTTGTCGTGTTGTTCATGTTTTTGGTCCATATACTTTTCTGTGCTGAGTTTGGTTTCTCGGCTAATGCTTTCTACCTTTTCTTCTTTATTGTTGGTTTTGTGCTTATGAAGCCCACATGTTTTCCTTCCTTCTGGATTAGCTTAGGGGGATTGTTACTTATCTCTGTGGTTACCTTGGAGTATATTCTTGTCTCTACATTTTTAGAACAGTGCATACTGTGAAGACATTGTCCTGTTTTTCTCTCCATTTGGAAGTTTGTACCTAGAAGTTTTATTCCTTCTGATAGGTTAGTTGCTGCTGTTGTGTGCCGAATGACTTCCTTGGTTTTTAGAGTACAATGTTTTATGGTCTTATTTTGAGTTTCTACTTCTGATTTGGTTTTAGTGTTGATGGCATGTACCTGATTTTGTTGATCTCTGTTGTGGGCTCTCTATTGGAAGAACTTCCCTAAGCATTTCTTGTAGGGTTGGTCTGGTTTTTACAAAATCCCTTAATTTCTGTTTGTCTGAGAATGCCTTGATTTCACCCTCATATTTGATGTATAATTTGGCTGGATATAGGATTCTTGGTTGCAAGTTCTTTTCCTTCAGTGTTTTATATATGCCGTCCCATTGCCTTCTTGCATGTGTGGTTTCTGCTGAGTAATCAGAGCTCGGCCTAACTGTTTGATTATTATAAGTAATATTTCTTTTGCTCTGGGCAGCTCTCAACATTTTTTCTTTGTCTTTGGTTTTGGAGAGTTTGATTATAACATGCCTCAGTGTTTTTCTCTTGGGATCTATCTTGTGTGGGGTTCTATGAGCTTCTTGGACAAATATCTTTTCTTCCTTCATGATATGGAGGAAGTTTTCTGTTAGCAGGTCTTTCTCTGTGGTTTTTTCACCTCTTTTTGTTCTAGAATTCCAATGAGTCTTAAGTGGTTTCTTTTCATGTCATCCCACATAATTCTTAGTTCTCTTCATTTCTCTTAAATCTTTGTTCTGATTTTTCTTCATACAGGCTGGTGTCCAGGTATTTGTCTTCTAGTTGGGATATGTGTTCTTCAGACAGTTCTAACCTACTCTTTTGTGCTTCTATTGTGTTGTGAAATTCTGTAATCTTGGTATTCATCTTCTGGATTTCTAACTGCTGTCTTTGTATGAGCTCTGATTGCACATTAATCTCATCATTCTGTTCTTGAATGATTTTTCTGAGTTCTTCTAGGGAACTGTCTGTGTTCTCCTTGTTTCTGTTTGGGATTTCCATAGGTTCTTGTAAAGCTCTATAAATGTATCTTCTAAATTCCTTCTCAGATAATTCCATTGCCTCCTCTTTCTCCATGTGTAATGAGACCTTTCTTCATGGTTTTTCTTCCAATGCCTTGTCCTGCTTTTTGTTTGATTTGAGGTTGACTGTTGTTTCCTAGACATTTTGAGGTTGTCTTTAACTGTTGGTTATGTGTTGATTTGTTTTGTCTTGGTTTTATGGTTTAATATTTTGAAAAGGTGAAGCTGGTGTATTTTATTTTATTTTTTAGTTATTAATTCAGATATGCTGGGTTGCTCTGCAGTTTTCTTTGTAATGGTAGAATCACTGTGTGGAATGTGGATATGAGTTTCTGTTTGTTGTTAAGAGGATTTAGAGTTCAAATTGGGAAGTTTTATGTTGGCTGAATGTGATTTCCTCTATTGGATGAGTGAAGTTATTGGCAGAGAAGGTGGGAGCAGAAGAAGGAAAGCTTGCTGTTGCTAGGGGTGGTTTCTAGAGCTTTGAGTAGGCTGCTACCAATGACGTCATACTGTTGTTTACAGGCCCGCAGCTCAATTTCAGCAAGGACTCTAGTTATTAGGGGTTTGCCACTTTCCACCAGGCTCAGACATGCAAAAAAACCCACTCCTGAGATGCTCCTGAGACTCTTCAGCACCAAAAGGCCGACCCAAGACAAATTCCAGGCTCCACAATCAGCTGCAGGCATTTCTCTCTCTGTGCCCACCCACCCACAGTGCCAGCCCAACTGGCTCAGACTGCAATCCAACTCGGGAGTTCCTCTGTGGGTCTGCCCACCCATGTTCCAAAGATCCGCTCGGTTTTAGTGACACTGGAGTCAGGAGAGTATCTACTAGTAACCTGTGGTCCCAATATTACTGATAAAGTCAAGCACAGGCCTCTCAGTGCTACTAATCTGATCCAAGCCAAGCCTACTTGGTGACCCGCTGTGGGAGTACCTCCCCGGGCCCACCCTCCTGCAGCACCAATGTACTCTCTGCGTGGGTTTCAGCAGCTCTGGATGTGCTCATTTGCATCTAGCCAACCCAAGTTACCAATAAAATCAGGTGCTGAAGGTAGATCCTTGGGGTGATCGCTGGTATGCTGGTGTGGTCACTGGTGTGCTGGTGTGGTGTGTCTTCTGCCTTAACCCAGGGAGGTCTTGGATGGCCATTCTTGTCTGCCAGTCACTCTCTCAGGGAAGTCTCTGATGGCCTTTTTCAGCTGCCTGTCAGCACTCTGCAAGATAGATCTTCTTCTTCTTCTTTTCCACCTGTGTCATTCTCCTTTCTAATTCTACTCCTCTGAGTTTGGTGCACTCTGACTGAGTGAGCTGTTCAGAGCACCAGAATCCCTAATTCAAACTGCTGTACCTAGTTTTTCAAGCACTAAGATGCTAGAGGGAAATAACGTGGTGATTACTGATGAGACTCCATTTTGGATCCTAATTTTTTTTTAATTTTAATAAACTCTAAAATTAACTGTATCAAATTACAATTCAAGTCAACAGAAATCAAAGAGAAAAGGATACTTTTTAAGTGAGAAAAGATCTTTCCCTTAATGAAATGTCATTCCCTATGGAAAATAGTTCTCTGTTTCTCTTTTCCAGGAAGGTAAATCAGAAGATGTTTGGATTGAAGAAAGATGGAAAGCACATGTTGCCCGGGTCCGTGATGTGGAACTTCTTACTGGACTTGACTTTTATCAGGAAAAATCACAGTCAGTCTCTGAAATTTTGCAACTGAAGACTTATTTACCCACATTTGAAACCCTTATTTAGCTTAATATGTTTAGACCATTAAATTCAGCACAATGTGGGTGATTTCCTTTGTTGAAGAATCCTAAAATAAAGTTTTCTATTTTTACTTAACTTCCCTCCAGGTTGTATAATTGTCATTGTTTGCTCCTATCTTTTTCATTTCTGTGAACATGTGTTATTTCAAATTTCCATTTTTTTTTTTTTTTTTGCACAGAGTTTATGCCATGTTATACTGTCCTTACAATATTTATTGTCTCATTCATAATCTTTTGCTATCTTTTTCTGCCCAACATTATGTAAATGGTGGGAGAACAAGAGAAGTGGGTATTAATTTGATTCTATAGCAGTTTTGCCATAAAATATTTCACAGTTGACACTTTGGCAATAACTACTAAAATTTTAATGTACTCATAACCTTTATTCTGTAATTTCACTTGTAAAACTGATCTAACAGATATATGTTGTCCAAGTGCATGAAAATATCTTCTATAACAGCAAAGACCAGAAAATAACTTGAAAGATGGGTTAAACAAATCCTGGAATTTGTTTAAATGAACAATTAAATACTTCTTCACCACTATAAAGAAAGAAGTAGATTGACATACTAAATGAAAGGCTATTTTTAAATGAAAAAGCATGTGGTAGAACTGTGTGTATACTATAATAAAACCGAAAAAAGAAAAAAACAAACCCACTGCCATCAAGTAGATACTAACTCATACTGACCCACACTGGATTTCCAAGGCTGTAAATTTTTACAGTAGTAGATTGCCTCATCTTCTTCCCACAGAGAAGCTAGTGGATTTGAACCACCAACCTTCTGGTTAACAGCCAAATGCCTTACCCACTATGCCACTAGAGCTGTTGTTGTTGTTGTTATGTGCCGTCAAGTCGGCCCCGACTCATAGCGACCCCTCTTTGGGTTTCCGAGGCAGTATCACTACGGAAGTAGGATTGCCCAACCTTCCTTCTGAGGAGTGGCTGGTGGGTTTGAACCGCCAGCCGTCTGGTTAGCAGGCAAGTGTCTTAGCCACTATGCTACCAGAGCTAGTGAGTATAAAAGATCAGATAGTAAATGTTTTAGGCCATATAATCTAGATTGTAGCTACTCAACTCCGGCATTGTGTCAAGAAAGTAGTCATGGACAATATGTGAAATGAATGGGAGTGGTTGTATAACCAAAACTTTATTTGCACTCATAAATGGAGATGTGGATTTGGCCCTTGGGGTACAGTTTGTCAAAGCCTGGCTTATATAATGAAACCAGGGTAAGGGGGAGCACAACATGACCAAAGTGTGACAGGGAATTAATAGTAATTTGAGGAAAGGAAATACAATTTTGTAATGCCCTTTTGTATTGCCTAACAATTTTAAAGACTATGTGTATATATTGAATTTTTAAAAATATGGGTATGGAGTGACAAGGTCCCAGAACTTAACTGAGAAACAATACCATTGGTCAGATTTTTGGATTGCCAGACAGGCAATGTTCTAGATGCTTTTTTAGATATAAAGACCAGTTCATCCTAGGGACAGATAAAAAATATCTGGTGGTGATAAAGCTTATCTTGTGACTTCAGCTTCAGTTTGTTAGGATTTCTATTAATTTCAACTAGTTGAAATGTAAGTGTGGTGCCATTGAATTTTTTAAATATATTTTTGCCACTGTTCTTGTTAGGTGCTGTCAAGTAGGTTCCAACTCATAGTGACCCCTTGTACAACAGAACAAAACATTGCACTGTCACAATCATTACCACTCTTCAGCCCATCGTCACAACCACTGTGTCACCACTGTGACCCTCATTGAGGGCCTTCCCCCTTTTCACTCACCCTCTACCAAGCATGATAGGATAGGAACCCAAGGTCCTTCTGACAACATGACCAAAGTGTGACAGATGAAAAACTCTAACTCACTGCCATCAAGTTGGATCCAACTCACAGCGACCCCTCCTTGGGTTTCTGAGGCAGTATCACTATAGAAGTAGATTGATAGATGAAGTCTGGCCATTTTTGCTTCTTAGGAGCATTCTGGCTATACTTCCTTCAAGACAAATTTGTTTGTACTCCTAGCAGGCCATGGTACATTTAACATTCTTCACCAACACCATGATTCAAATGCATCACTTCTTCTTCAGTCTTCCTTATTTATTGTCCAGCTATCACATGCAAATGAGGCTATGGAAAATATCATGGGTCAGGCACACGTTAATCTTCAAAATGAAATCTTTGCTGTTAAACATTTTTGAAGAGGACTTTTCAAGCAGATTTGCACAATGCAATATGTCATTTGATTTCTTGACTGCTGCTTCTGTGGTGTGTATTGTGGATCCAAGGAAAATGAAATCCTAGACAACATTGATCTTTTCTCTATTTATCTTGATGTTCCTTATTAGTACAGTTGTGAGGACTTTTGTTTTCTCTCTGTTGAGGTATAATCCATACTGAAGGCTGTAGTCTTTGATCTTCAAGTCTTCACTTTAAGCAAGCAACACTGTGTCATCTGCATATTGCAGGTTGTTAATAAGTCTTCCTCCAATCCTGATGCTGTGTTCTCCTTTTCAGATTATTTGCTCAACATACAGACTGAATAAGTACAGTGAAAGGATACAACACTGACACACAACTTTCCTAATTTTAAACTGTGCAGTATCCCCTTATTTTGTTTGAACAACCCCCACTTAGTCTATGTATAGCACCCTCAAGAGCTTAATTAAGTTCTGGAATCCCCATTCTTCATGATGTTACCCATAATTTGTTATGAGCCTCACAATCAAAAGCCTTTGCATAGTCAATGAAGCATAGGTAAACATCTTTCTAGTATTCTTAGCTTTCAGCCAAGATCCATCTGATATCAGCAATGATATCCCATGTTCCACATCCTTTTCTGAATCTGGCTTGAATTTCTGGAAGTTCCCTATCAATTTACTGCAAATGTTTTTGAATTGTCTTCAGCAAAATTTTATTTGAGTGTGAAACTAATGATATGGTTTGATAATTTCTGCATTTTATTGAACCACCTTTCTTTGGAATAGGCATAAATATCCATCTCTTCTAATTGGTTGGTCAGGTAACTATCTTCCAAATTTCTTAGCATAAATAAATAACCACCATCAGCACTACATGTATTTGTTGAAGCATGTCGGTGGGTATTTTGTCAATTTCTGGAGTTTTGTTTTTCACCAATGACTTCAGGGCAGCTTGGACTTCTTTCAGTGACATTGGTTCTTGAGCATATGCTACCTTATGAAATGGTTGAACATCAACCAGTTCTTTTTAGTGCAGTGACTCTGTATATTCCTTCCATCTTCTTTTGATGCTTCTTGCATTATTCAATACTTTGCCCATAGAATCCTTCAATATTGTAACTGGAGGCTTAAATTTTTTCCTCAGTTCTCTCAGCTTGAGCATGCTGAGCATGTTCTTCCCTTTAATTATCCAACTCCAGGTCTTTACACATTTCATTATTCTACTTTGTCCTCACCAGCTGGCCTTTGAAATCTTCTGTTTCACTTTTACTTCATTTCTTCCATTTGCTTTACCTACTCTCCTTTCAAGAGCAAGTTTCAGAGTCTCTTCCAACATCCATTTTGGTCTTCTTTTCCTTTCCTGTCTTTTTAATGACCTTTTGATTTTGTTCATGCATGATGTCCTTGGGATATGATCTAGAACCAATGGTAATGAAGGAAGAAGTCAAAGCTGCAATGAAAGAACTGGCAAAGAACAAGGCTCCGGGAATTGATAGCATACCGATTGAGATATTTCAACAAACAGATGCCCCATTGGAGGC